AACATGTAGTCCATGTCTTCCTCGTCATTGGCTACGACTACCTGATCATCTGCGAAAAATAAAGCTGTTAGACATTCACCACCGCCTATGTCTATTCCCATTCCGGATACTTGTTTTCTCCACTGCTCTAGCGATGATTGAATATATATTTTAAACAGGGTCGGAGACAGACAACATCCTTGTTTAAGCCCCTTTGTTATTGGAAATGATTCAGATATAAAGTTTCCTTCTTTAACGACACTTCTTGCATTTTTGTATATATTTGCGATAGCATCCACATACTCTCTACTGAGACCTACTTTCGTCAATGTATAAAATAGTTTTTTCAAAGGTACCGTATCATATGCCTTCTCTAAATCTACAAACAATAGGTGGGTAGATAAATTCCTTGCCTTCCGTTTTTCGATTACCTGCTGCAGAACGAATATATTATCAATGCACGATCTTCCTGCCCGAAATCCATTTTGTTCCTCTACGTCTTCATATTCTGATTCAATTCGTTTTTTTATTATTCGACCGTACAACCTCCCAACTGAGCTAGTAACAGTTATTCCTCTATAATTAGAGCAATTGCGTTTATCCCCTTTTTTGTATATTGAGCTGATGTATCCAACATTCCAATCATCAGGGATATTTTGTCCTTTTAAGCATTTATTAAATAGTTTAACCATCATCTCGTGTAATATTTTTGGTCCATACTTTACCAACTCAATTGGGATGTCTCCAGGTCCTGCTGCTTTACCGTTTTTTTCGATCTTTTGAGGGCATCGCTTAACTCTCCGGTTGTTATCTCAATTATTTGTGTATGTTCAGATATTTCTTCCATTTCGATATCTTGGAATTTACATCTATCCTCTGTCAATAAGACCTCATAATGCTGTTTCCACTGTTTCAGATCTATTAATTTTAAGTTAGATTTTTCCTTTCCTTCCCTTCGGAGAGACTTTATCACCTTCCACGCTTGCCCAACTCTTGTTCCACCCATATACCTATCCACCTCTGCACATCTTCGATCCCACATCTCATTTTTACTTTTCACTACTTCTCTTTTTACATCTCGATTTAATTTCGTATATACCTTGTGATCTTCCTCCTTTCTCGTTGACATCCATTTCTGATAAGCAGTTTTCTTCTTGTTTACTAACGTTTGCATATTCTCCGACCACCATTCTTGATTTTTTGTTTCATGTTTGTCTTTATACCCCAAAGCTTCACTTGCAGCCTCATGAATGTACTTTTTAAGTTGTTGGTATAATTCTTCCGCTGTTATATTTTCTCGATCCACATTTTGTAATTTTGTGGCCAGTCGTAATTTGTAAAGAAATTTTGTTGAATCTTCTTTTAAGCTTTCTAGGTTATATTTAGGAGATGTTACTTTTTGTTCCTTTTCTATATTCTGTACCTGAGTGTTATTGTTTTTGCGGTAGTTAACTATCACATTGGCCATAAGTAAATGATGGTCGGATCCACATTCTGATCCACGGTATACCCTTACGTCAGTTGTTTTCAGCTGGGAAGTTTGACGTTGAATTACAAAGTCGATTATCGAGCGCAGATTCCTAGTAGGTTGTATCCATGTAAATTTGTGGATGTCTCTATGTTGAAAAAATCCATTCATAATTTTGAGAGACATTATTTCACAAAAATCTCTAAGACGCATTCCGTTGTCATTGGTTATTTGTTCTCCATATCTTCCTACGACTCTGCTATTTTCTTCTGTCCCTACTCTCCCTTATGACTTATGGGGCAGAGGTTTGGCAGATAACGCAGAAGGATAGAAAAAGAATAGAAGTAGTAGAAATGGATTTTCTAAGGAGAGCGTGTGGTATATCCAAAAAAGATCACATCAGGAATGAAGATATTAGAAGGAGGACAAATACTGTATATTCCAGTGTAGATAGAATTGAAACGAGACAACTAGTGTGGTATGGTCACGTGAAACGAATGAATGAAGATAGATGGCCAAAGAAAGCTTTAAATTACATACCACAACAAAGAAGAAGAAGGGGAAGGCCTTCAGTTGCCTGGGAAGAAAATGTACGGCACATAATGAGAGATAGAGCCATCAGAGAAGACGAATGGATGGACAGAAAACGATGGCGGTCGAAATGCGAGAAACGGCAGAGGCTGTAGGAACCTCGCTTATATATATATATATATATATATATATATATATATATATTATATATATAATATATATATATATATATATATATATTTTAATATTTAAGATATAAGTTCCTGCGACTGGATGACTACTTACGTAAGAGGCCATGGAGAAAAAGAAGAAGTTTATGTGAAAATATTTAATGGTTAAAGGTTACCTTTACCCATCGAGTTAGAATCTAAACTTGATGCCTTTACCTCTCGTAACCACGATACTATGACTAAGAAGATAAGATAACGCATAAGTCGTGACGTCATTGGAGAGTTGCGCGTTCCAAATGTCAGTTTTTTGTGTCATTATGTGTACGATTATTGTAATTATTAAACCTCTTAACTTATTTTCGTCTAGTAATTTCATCACAGAATGCATACAAATCCCATTTAACTTTAACCGGAATTCAAATTCTACTCTCCAATGACGGCATGCGTGAACACGACCAATTTTGTGCTACGGGAAGATACTATCTTGTTAGTCATAGTATCATGCTTGTAACGTTGTAATTCTTGTTTTCATTTTGCATTTTCATTCTGTTTTTGCTCAGTTATTTTTTGTGTGCTTAGGCCTTAGTGCTTAGATATCAATTTGTTTTAATTTTATCAAAATGGATATTAAACATTATACTGGTTTTAAGTCTATATCACATGATATCCCATTTCAACCAGCTACACCAAAAATCTTATTGATAGCAATAATCCATTTTGCTCTTTGAACTATTTTATGCTTGGCAACACGAAATGAATAAAATTTACAATCACTTATACTCAGTATTTTTACATGTATCAATACAACAGCTGCTATATCTTTTTCTTTTTGAAAAATCCATATTCGCCATTATTTGAATGTTTACAAGTTAAATGCACAAAACTGCCACTAACAGCGTTGGTGAAAACTGTCAAATCCCCTCTACTCATCGGCTCACAGCGAATAGATAAATTTGAATAGCTTAATAAATACTATATATTAATAAACATAGAGATTATTAGATAGAAAATACAGATTAAGGTTGATATATTTATATATCGATTATTGAAAATTTACTATATTGATTTGACTATTGACTATTCGCTCCGTGCGTGACTGACACGACACCTACCGCCTTTTTCTGACAATTTGGGAGTCCCAATTTTCAGGTTAAACATATGACATATGTTTGACATTGTTAAATACATGCGAAATTGACAATTATTAATAAATTAGTTTTTTAACTATATTTTTTCAGTTTATGTACAAAATAAATGTAGTATTAAAAACTGGGTTTCTCAAAATTCATCATAATATATCTTTTCAACTCCAAACGTAAGAGAAAGGGAAAAATCTAGTACTGACAAATCAAGTTTTTCACGCAAAAGAGCATATAATTAAAAACAATAATAGTAAAAGTTATGATATAAAAGCTAAAGTCATCTGCAGTTAGCATGAAGCCTTATGAAATATCATTCAAGGTAAATTATTTAAATTTTTCCTATTTCAATTGCGTAAAAATGAAATTATGTGATATTTACGTTTTCATATTAATAGCAGGAATTTATCTTTTTCTTTTCTCTAATTTATATGTAATCTTTGGGAACCTATAAAAACTACACTCACTGTTTTTGCTATTATTAGCACAATTAAATGCGCAACATGTATTTGCACACATTTTTGATAAAATTTATGCGTAAAAATATTTTGTCCAATATTCCAATTTGGTCATATTTCACCGCTATGCACGCTGGCGTCGTTTCAATGTACCCCTACCATGGTCACGCACGGAGCGAATACACATTGAATTTTTTTTAAAATATGGCAGTTTCACAATTTGACGTTAAAAATGTAAGCATTCTTCCAAATTTTGACGGAAATCCAAATGAATTACATGAATTTATTAAAGTTTCTACAATACTTCTAAACCATTATTATGACAGACTTTATGGAACTAATATACAAAACGAATTTTTGCTTCTGGTATTATCAGTAAATTAACAGATAGAGCCAAAGAAGTTAAATCTGTATATGGATGCGAAAGTTGGGATGAAATAAAAAACGCATTAATTCAAAACTTTGGAGACCAGAGAGACGAAAATTCGCTTTCAAGGGACCTAGTTAATTTAAGATAAGGCTCAACAGAATCTATTATGCATTTTTATGAAAAGATCATGGGACAGTCTAATTTCGTAGCCGGGATTATGCTAAGAGAATCAATGGGCTCTGTTATCAGAGCAATAAGATCAGGAAGTTTAGCCACGTCAATACAGTACGTACAGGAAGAAAATATTGTCCGATATCTTCAAAAAAATCAAATAAGTCAAACTTCAACATCAAGAAGAATCAAAATTATCAAGAACGCCGACATCAGAGACAGCAGATGCCTGTACCTATCCGGAATCCATTGTATCAACAGCCAAATTTGGCAGCAACTAATGAGACAATTCTATTCGTAGAATCAGTTTCAGTAACCACAGTGGCAACAAAACTTAGACCAATTTAGACAAAATTATAATTCTCAGTGGAGAACGACCACCAACACGCTGGATGGAGGACGTTAAACGAATATCCAAGATATGGCAACAAGAGGCACAGAACCGTAAAGAGTGGCGAAAAATGGGAGAGACTTATGTCCAGCAGTTGCATGATGAAGTCTAAAACTCTGTTAGTTCGTGGAAATTATAAACATAAATTTATAAGAATTTTTTCCTGTCTATAATTTTTTATATTATTTATAAAAATGAAGATTTTAACGGCGGGAAGTTGTACAAATCATCACCCTGTATAAATATCCTATTAATTTTAACACAAAACTATTATTGAACTAATATGTCTGCCACACACATCAATCTAACAATTTTTTACTCACCTAAATCGAAGGTTAATGTCACTTCTTGCCCGGTAACAACCACAACATCGAACAGAAGAATTGCCAAACCAGTGCACAATACAATTTTCATCACACTCGACTTCATAATATTTGTTTTAATCGTTGTTACTGCTCCAAATAACCGAGAAACATTCTTCGGTTCGGATACCTTTACTATCAACGGACCTGACTCGATAGTGTTATAATCTGTGGTTTTGCCGGCGCATTCAGAGAAACACCTCTCGGAGGACAATTTGCTTTCACGTAAAACTGCAATATGTGTTTGTGAGTTGTTTAGAAGTGGAGGCTGATTTGCGTATAGGGGAGAGCTGAATTTCAAGAATATCATCATAAATATTAACGGATTTCTTAGATTACACTATTATATAAATTTATTTCGTCATACCGGATCATTCAAAAACTAAGCTTGTTGGTCAATAGTTGAGAAGGTCAATGTGGAAGGATGAGTGAGAGAAATTGGTACTGTAATTAACGCAGAATCAAAATTACGAAAAAAACAAAAACGTTCTCACATGTGATGTTATAACATCTATTGTGTATCGTCTGTTAATGGTAGCGCTTTAATAAATATTAGAATTTAATTTAATAATTAATAATAACCTACTCAAATATCCTTCTAAGTAAACCATCCTCTTGATATTATTCTGAATTCAACTGTAAATCACAAGGAAAAACCAAAAAAAAATTATGATATTAGTCCTATTTGGTCTCTCATTTATTTTACTCTCAATATTAACATCAAACACTAATTTTATATATGTGGACATGTTATCTATAAGTTTCCAACAACATATATGCGGAACTACCAATATTTTAACCAGAATAATAACTCATATTCACCAACCAATAAATAGTTTTAAGGCAGATATTATTTTATCAGAATAAGACAGAATAAGAATTATCGAATGTCATAATCTTAATAACATAATCAACAGTTTATTTCGAGTACGTGTTGACCTGCCATTTTTTCTCATCACCACTAGACATTTTGTCAGTCCTAGCCATAGATCTCCTTTATAATCTCCCATCTGTTTCGAACTTGAGTCTTTTGCATCCAATCCCTATGGCAAAGTTTTAGATCATTAGTCCAACGTGTTGGTGAACGACCTCTGCTTCGATAAGCTTTATCTCTTGGTCTTCATTTCAATATCCGCTCTGTATATCTGTTATCTGTCATTCGAGCCACGTAACCTGCCCAGTTCTACTTCAGTGTTGCTATTCTCTCTACAGCATCAGCCACTCCTGATCTTCGTCGAAGCTGGCGGTTTGGGATCTTGTCTCGCAATGAAATAATCGCCAACATAGCACGCTTCATCGGCCTCTGAGCCACACAGATCTTTTTGCACTGTTTTCTTTGTCATATTCAGATAAATTAGTTTTACCCTTACACCCTCTGATATCTCTGTTTTAAAAAACATCTCATTCTACTATATATTTTGCTTGTTATTGCTTAAATGTTGCGCATTTAAGTCGATATGACTTAAAAGAGAAGCTTGGGAATATGTAAACGAGAAGAAAAGGCACTTAGAGAGTGATTTCCACAGGGTGAACATCATATTAACTCACCTGAAAGTAATTAGCTAGCTTTATTATACTCTAGAACATTCAATTTGTATTTTGTAACGATGTGCATCGCCAACTATCGTAACCGGCTTACCACTGCTCTGAACGCACGCACTCCCATCGCTTCCACAAGCTTAACTTTCATCACAAGTTCTACTTCTATCGATGCGCGTTGGAGATAAAAGATCAGTAATGACATAAAACAACGTAAGCCGCAAGTCAAAATCGAGTTCCTCCAGAATACTGATCTGGTGGAAATTCAACCGGGTCTTTGGGTATTCAACAAAGGCCAACCATCCTGGGAGTTCTATCAGTATATTGATCTGGAAACAACTCCACTGGCCCCAGGGTCTACTTTTGCCAAAGTGTTGATCGAGTAGCAACTCCCGAACCTACTCTTGAAGTGTTGATCTAAGAGCAAACCGTACCGTGACTGAGTGTTGATTAGTCACTTCCCGGTCCTTGTCGGATCGAGTATTAATCGATCCGTCAACCTCTAACCAAGAGCATTCTTTCTCTTTGGCGCGCGTGTGCGCGCGTATATGTGTTCCAAACCATCGTATTTTAGTATCATTTTTATAACATTAATTGTATTAATTTTCGTAGGTATTAACAGTGGATCCTAGCACCGTCATACCTCCGCCAGGTAGTATATTGTTTAATTCTTTTTGTACAAAAGAAACTGATTTTATTTTGTTAACTATTTATTCAGAATATATTTCTATTTGAATTAAACCTGTGTTTTATTGAGTGTGGAGTCTAACAGAGGTAACCATTACACATTGGTGCTCGAACAGAAGTAAAGCGCTACAAATTGGCGCTAAAAAATGAGTTCGTAAATGGAAATTTGTCAAAATAAACTCAAATTGCGGTCAAAATAAACTGAAAAATGCCACAAGACAATGGATTCAGAAAAATAATAAGTATCAACGTAAGGTTATAGTAGGGTATAGTCGAGGCAATCAGCTTTTAAGAGTCTAAACTAGTTATATTAAATAAATTACTATTTAACTGGGAATAAGCCACAAGTAAAGATAAAAATACGTTTATTGACGTTTCAATTTCCTATTCGGAAATCGTTCTCAAAATACAAACAGTAAATTTACTGTTTTCGTATAAAATAACGTATTTTTATCTTTAATTGTGGCTTATTCCCAGTTAAATGGTAATTTATTTAAAATGCCACAAGAAAATAGCTTCAGAACAATATTATTTATATTAATTCCTATTAATTTTTTTCCTTGGCTATCACTATAACATCGGATTTTATTATATGTCCTGATTAGAAACAATTAAAAAGCCGCAAAAACCAAGAGCTGTTCGCAAGTGGTATCCTCCTATTCTTATTTCCAGTTTCTATCATCCATCGATAAATAAGACGTTACCAACATTTGCATTAAATTAAACAACTAGATAAAGATATTGTTACGATAAATATGACTTATAGCTAAACTGTAATCATGTTTTTCTAATAAGTCCACGGGACTCCTACGCTAAAACCTGTTCCATGGCGTTCGAGATCATTCAGCGAGGGTTGCCGGCTGAATTTTAGTGAACTCGAGAATAACGGTTGTGTAATATATATAGATGATTTTTATTTGTAACGCGCAAATAAATTATATCAGTGTAAATAATCTGAAAATAAATATTGTAAATAAATAATATCAATTAATTTAAGTAGTTGTGTTCTAGTTTTTAGTGGTAAGTGTAAGCCTGTAATAAATAAATAAATAAAGATTCTAATAAACTTAGTGTTAGAACATTATTTTATAATAAATAAAGTTAATAAATTAGCTATATTATTACCGGGAATAATCTTTTGAACAACACGTATGAAATACTTACCTCTATTGTTTATGTTTTCTTCAGATCTACTTATTTGTTTATATATACAACTTAATTTTACTCTACTTTTTCCTATCACTGCAACAACAGAACCACCTGGAAGGTGAGCGTGTTATGTAATGCCAACCACGCGTGTTGCAAGCTGTCAGCGTCTTCGTAGTTGTTCTTAGTTCGTCGACGGCGACGAGGTCTATTATGAAAGAAACTGTGTCTTTTATTAGTATTATTTAATAACAAGGTTCATCCATTAAAAATAATAACCAATTCATTTTGTGTAAATTAGTTTTAATTTATAATCAGGATTAATTGTTTTTTTAAACAACATTCAGTTAATTTTAAAATTATTTGTAGATACACATAGAATTCGAATACTCACAAGGTCCAAAAACTACATAATGATAAGGCATATACTATAAAATACATATAAAAATAGTCAGTAAACATGTCTTTTTAAAAGTTAATACATATTATCACCCATGTATAAACGACGACGCCACAAAAAATAAAAAATCCACAAATAACTATAATAATATACATGTTATTAGCTAAGGTTTCGTTTTGTTTGGATTTTTAATAAAAAAAATTAAAATTGAGAATGCCATTATACATCTGTTTGTTGGTTAAATTTTCTTTTCGAAAATATAGTCCAGAAAAGTGAAATCATTTTTGAATGATTTCACTTTTTGAATTTTCAACACAAAAATAATTGTTTTCAAAAAGTAACACAAAAAACACTATTTCACAAGATGGAACATTAGACAAAGCCATAAGAGAGAGCAATGCGCCAGGGAGAAAAGCCATCACAATGTAAATCAGCATATTATTGGACCAATCCATCAGCAAAGAAAATAAAAAGAGGATATATGAGACTATAGTAAAAAGTATCACTTTATACAGCTGTGAGGTATGGCCACTGAAAGAAAGAACATTGGCAACGCTGAAAGCGAAGGAAATTGATTTTTTGAGAAGTGCCGCAGGAAGATCTAGAAGAGAAAGGATTACCAATGAACGCATTAGAGAAATATTGGGAATCAAACAAACAATCACAGATGACTTAACAACAAAACAACTTATCTGGTTCGGATACATACATATGATACACCGATAAACCGCATGCCTTCCACCATCTCAAACCTCTAAATATAACGTTTTTTTCTCCATTCAAAACAGCTTACTACCAAGAATGTGACGAGTATATAAAACAAAAAAAAAATATGAGAAAATCAATACAATAGACGTTGCGGAACTTGTTAAAAATGTCATTAGTAAGGCTGCGCTATTGAGAAGGCTGTAAATGGTTTTCGAACCACAGGGATCTTTGCTTTTAATCCTGATGTTTTTTGTGAAGAAGAATTAATATTTATACCAGTAGTTAAACAATATCAAGATAATGTGTCTTCTGTGCCGGATACATATTGAACATCATCGCCAACACCAGTTCCCCTAGATGAACTACCGGAGCCCAGTGGAGTCCAAAATAAAAAACTGAGACCAAAAGCAGCACCATCATCAGAAGATTCTTAATCTGAATCAAAAATCTCCTGGGGAGGCGATATAGGAAGAATAAAAGACAACCGTTTAACAAAGCGAATTATTGAATGGCGACCAAAAGCAAACAAGAGAAATATAGGCAGGCCTCAAACCAGATGGACTTATGACATCAAGCGACTGGCTGGTCACGAATGAATGCAAAAAACAACAAACATAATTAAATGGACATATCTAAGGAAAGCTTACATTCGACGATGGATAGAGTAGCTGTTCATGATGATGAATACTTATTAACAGTGAAATACAGGAAAAAAAGAATAGTTTGGATCAAAGCTTGGTGAACAGCAATTCCAATGATATACTTCGTTACTTTTTTGAAAACTTATAAATATATTTTTTTATATCTCAATTTTCAAATAAAATTGTTAATCAATCTTTCATTAAGAAAGACCCAACACCAACCCCTTCCTAAATCTATTAAATATTTAACATCTAATCAGACTTTGTCCACATAATAAGTATCTTTAAAATATTAAAGATAGTACGGTAACTAGTTTAAATAATTTAATCACGTCAACTACAAAAGCAGCAAAGTTGCATGAGAGTTCATAAGACTTAATATCGCAACAACCATTAGAAATAGGTGATAAAGGTTAGTTTTTGTGATAGAAGCTTTACTTAAGAGCTTTCACATCCAAACTGCATGGAGTTGATCAAAATAGACATTACTAAATAATTTTTTATCTGGTTCACTAAAAAAATGTGTTTATTAAACTCATCAATCAAAAACGATCATTTGAGGGATTTTAAATGGAAAAAGTAAAAAAGTAAAACTAGACCTTACAGTAGATCTTGTAGGTTACAATTGCGAATTGAAGTTAAGCTACAATTATTGAAAATTGTCAATTAATGCATTTACTAAAGCTTCAACTAAAGCTTGAGGTAACTCTACAACTGAAACTCTTAATAAGGCTTCAGTCGAAACTTAAGATGAGGTTTTAACTAAGACTTAAGATAAGGTTTTAGTTTAGATTTCCATCATTTAAGGATGGAGATCAGGTTTTGATTGATGCTTCAGTAAAAGCTTCATATGAGGATCAAATTAAGCCATTATGTATAAGAAAAACTACTTCATAGTAAGTTTATGAACCCTCATACAATTTTGTTAGATAAAATTAAAAATAAATATGTTCATTATAGCTACAATCTCCTACAATGCACCTTTTAACTTGATGCGGTGGTGTTTCTAACCCATCGATTCTTGAAAATTGAGATCTGTTTTGGAAGAAAGACGCACTTCCCGTTTTCAAGATTGCATGCTGGAAATCCCACGTTCCACTTGTTCCTTCCATATTCGATGCCAAATCTAGAAGGTCCCGTTTTTGGTACATGATTTTCGGATCTAAAGAGCTGTAGATGTGATCCATGGGACGATTGTGAGCTCTGTAAAACTGAAATAAACCAGGCTTTACTTACCCAACGTACGAAATATAAGTTTTTAAAATACATTAAAATAAAAAAAACAAAAATAAGTTAAATCTTTAAATAATTAAGGCGGTGGCTAGAAGAAGGATCTATATGCCTATGGACACCGAATTGAACTCTTTATGTTGTTCCCTGTCAGTTTACCAATTTTTTCTACAATATTACAGTTTTTTTCGTTGGTACAACACTTTTTTTAGTGAAGTATTGGCACAGCTGAGAAAGATTTGTGCCTCTAAATCAATTCTGTTTTTGAATTTCTGACAATGTGATTGAGGTTATGTTATATTTTAAACTGTAAGTTTAAGTGTATTTAAAGTCATGGCTAGTCGTAAAGCTATTTTAGATAACATGGTGTCTAAAGGTACCAAAAAGATAATTTTTCAATAAGACCATTGGAAAGAAAACTTAGCAAAATCTAAAAGACAAAGTGCATATGAATATGTGTCAAAATTTACGGGAAAAAACTGTACAGAGTAAGGTATTTTCTGTTGTCCGTAAGTGTTGTGTAGAAAAATGTTTTGCAAAAATAATTTCGCAGGATCAAGAGAGTTTATTTGACTCTTTTAGACACATTTGACTTTTTTAGTGTCTTGTTAGAACAATCATAATACAGAAGGTGCTTTTAAATTAACAATCAAAAGAGGATTGTTTCAAAACGCGGAAAAATTTCGAGAATATTTTAAATTTTCCAGGGATTTATTTGGGACTGATATATTGGAGGATTCTCCTTTACTAGATTCACTAGTCTTTCATCTTCCTGGTGAGAAAATTTAATAGACATCACTTAAATATTACAATAATAATATAAAAATACAATTATAATTTCGGTATATATGTATGAGCTCAGCTGAACGTTTGCGTCTAAATCAAATCGCAGTTGATTCCAGCGCACACCGTCGACGTACATGGATATCGCTCTGCAGTGCGCGCAGCTCAGCAGAATCTACAAACCGTTATCATAGAGAATCATTCCTTTAATTTTCATGAACGTGCGCGGCGTTCAACTGACTGTGAATTATACGTCTCTCACTGTTCTAACAAACCATAGCTTAAGGCTCAACCCCTAACATAAACGACACATTCAAATCATGGCCCTCATTCTTCGTATGCTCAAATGGTCCCGAAATGGGTAGCTTTCGGGATCAAGCCACGAGGGTAGAGGGTACTAAGAATCTGCGTTTAAACCGCTACCCAAAAAGTAAGACGGAGATGAAGAGTTATTGTAAATAGCGAGGAAACACATTCTACTAAAGAAGAATATCAATGGGCAGAACAGGAGGTATTGGATTTCTAATGAAAAAGAAATGAAAACGAAGACTAGTAAAAATAACTAGTATCTCGGATAGAATAGCTAGCTTAGTTTTACAACCATTAAAAAGATAAGGGATACAATATACAAATTATAAAACTATATTCCACATCTATTACTCACACTGACGAAGAAATGGAGGAACTTCACAGTAACATAACTGAAGCATTAAATAATAATAAAAGTCACTTCAAGTAGTTAAATGATGACTTTAATGAAAAGTCAAAAAGAAAAACATTAAGGAACAATTCATAGGAAAGTATGGAGTCGGTGAGAGAAATGAATGAGGAGAAAGGGTGATTCAGTTTGCACACTACCAAAACATGCCTATTGCAAATACATTCTTTAAGAAAACATCGAACAGAAAATGGAGTTGGGTAGCACTAAATGAAACTACTAAAAACGAACTTAACTTCATCAACCAACAAGATTGCTACAATAAAAGATGTTAGTGTAATAAATAAATTTTAAACAAGTAGCGACTATATACTAATCAGAGCAAAAATTGTTCTAAATCTGAAACTAGAAGGAATAAAATCACAAAACTAACAATAACCGGCATAAATATTAACAATCTAAAAGTAAACTTAGATTACTATAAGGGACATTTGATGAAATATTACATGACCACATCGACAGATTTCAATGAATGGAAATTATCCTTGATAGTGCCAAAATGAACTGTCTAATAAAACAAAAACCATACTATATTGAAGAAGAAAAATTAATGAAGTAGCGAAATACAGAGAATACAATACACAGAACCTTTTTCTTCTTCTTCTTACTTTATAAATAGGCTTAATGCCTGTTTTACTTCGGTTTTTAGCCTCAATAGACGTTATCTGACCATCTTTTCCTCGATCTTTCCAATGATTTTCTTCCATTTGGCGATTTTGTCTCTTGCTATTCGTACTATTCTATTTTCTGTCATTCTTTCGATGTGTTGATTCCATTCCACATTTTTCTTTTGGTCCATGCGTTTATTTCCTTTATACCACATCTCGCTCGTATTTTCTCACTTCCTACTCTCTCTCTTAGAGTTTTTTTGTTATTTTTCAGAAGACTTTCATTTCTGTTGTTGCCAGCAGTCTTTGTGTTTTCGCCGTATCTGCTCTTGTTTCCGCTATGTACGTCATTATCGGTCTTATTGTTGATTTATATATCCTGGTTTTCGTTTCCGTTGTGAGGTATTTGTTTCTCCAGATTGTGTTGTTGAGACATCCTGCTGCTTTGTTTTCCATGTTCACTTGTTTTTGTACTTCTTCCACTTTTCCGTAGCTTGACAGTTTTATTCCCAAGTATTCAGTTTCCATCACTTGTTCTATTATTTTGATATTTACGACTAGTTAGACAGACAACTGTAAATAATGAATTCAGTGATAACTTAGAAACTGAGCACAACACATTTGCTAAGAAAGCAAATGACGATAAGGTAGATATTCCTATCATAATTTCTAATCCATTTTCCTCCGGTCAATCATCGTCACAGCAGCTTTCTTCACCTTTGGAACAAAACCTTCAACAAATGAAATTTCATAATCCATTTTCCTCCGGTCAATCCTCGTCACAGTAGCTTTCGCCACCTTTGGAACAAAACCTTCAATAAATGGAATTTCATAATCCAGATTATGGTAGAAAAGCAATTATATTCAAATCGAAGATGCTACTTTACCTGCTACTAAACTTGGAAACTCAAGAAAGATATAATAGCGAAAATCAAAGTTACTCAAAGGTCAATGGAGCAATGCTTGCTAGGTATAACCAAGAGAGATCGAAATAGAATAAAATGGATAAGACAGAAAAGCAAGGTCAGTGATTTAATCCATAGAACTAATTCTTTAAAATGCAACTGACAATAGATGGTCCACAGAAGAAATAAAGAAATTCATAAAATCTTGAGGAAGTAATTATCTTAAAGTAATATCAGATAAAAAAGAATAATCTAAAGAGTTCAATATTTCTACAACGTGTTATACAAAAAGCATTCACTTTAATACAGCAGATATAAGAGATCAATTTTATATCCAATAAACGGACACAGTACCTTAAAATGTAAAGTAAATTTGGAGAAAAAAGATAAACTTACTATAAATTTTTCTTCCAGTCTGTCGATGACGTCTATGTAGTAATTTAAAGCGCCCATGTCTTTGTTCGATGGTGTTTCAAAATTCGTAATGCAAATCGAATCGTCTCCTGTGGTAATGCCCAACAACATGCCCAACGTAGTTCTACCTTGGTCCGATTTGTTACGCCTCGGTGAACTCCTCGGTTTAGGATAGCGTTTTAGTTTATCCACTCCAGCGAGCCGTGGCTCCAGAATTCGGTCCGACACACTTTGTAAAATATCCTTAGAATCCGACTCGAATCCGTTGTCAAAGTTGTCAGTTGCTGTTTGTTCTGTTTCAGGAGAAAGGGGTCTGTAATCTAAAAAACAGTCTGAAATTCCACTATCTGTTGGGGATGGTGATGGTACTGGAATTACTCTAGGAATATCAGGATCAGTTGTTATTCCTTCGTGTATGAAAGTTATTTCGTCCGACAAAATTTCTTCTCCTTCAGGAACCGCAGCCTCATTTATCTCTATTACTTCTATATCAGGAACAACTTCTGTTGGTAGGACTGTTGGCTTGGGTATGGGTGATTCGTAAATAATATTGAGTGGAGATGAACGGTTTTCGTCGATTAGTAATTCCATACCTATAAAACTTTCCCTCATGTTGCCAATAAGAGGACCTAACTCTGATGTTACTTGAGCACGGGACATTCCGGATAACATTATGGCAGTGGGCAACGTCATTTTGTCTAAAAATGTAATGTTTGTTTAATTAGGTTTTCTACTACTAATCAATTATTTGTTTGAATTAATAATTAATATTTTGAATAATTTATGAAATAATGTAAAACTGAATAACTGCAGCTGTCTGTAAGACCTACATGGTCTGGGCGCCTCCTCCTCCTCAATCCTTTAACCTTTG